TGAATCCCCCTCTTGTACTAACCAATCACCCCTACCCAACTTGTTCCCGCCAGTGAATGCACTAATCATGTTTTAGAGTTGTTTTATGATTTTCCCATGGTGTGTGATGATTTGCTAAGAGATGCTATGATGTATGTGAAGTCCCTGCCTTCCCCAATGAGTGTATAAACTGCTGCAAACCCTGGGCTCGGGGCCTCTCAGCATCACCAGTTGCTCTGTGAGCGGAGGACAGAGCTAGCTCTCAATAAACGCCTCTTTGCTGCTTACATCGATCTTGGTCTCTGGTGGTCTTTTGGGGGTCCTGAACTTAACATTAAGATTTTCAGGATGAAGGTGTGCTTTCTCAAGGATCCTGAGGAATGGAGAATTAAGTTCTGAATATCTGTATTTTGATATTGCAGATTAGCCTATATAAACGCATTGTGATCATAATTTTTCACTTTCATTTCTTTTTTTATTTCTTCCTGAATAAGACTTTCATGGTACTTCAAACTTACCTGGTATGAGGCACAGGCTAAGAAGACAATGGTCAGTGAGAAGGACACAGTCCTGGGTATGCAACACTTGTGATCTTGCAGAGCTATGTCCAGTCACATTCTTTTGTGGCAAGAAGCAGACCATCACTGGCTAACTTAATCCCAGCTCCCCACTCCTTGCCCCCGAAAAGAACGCATCTTGGAAGGGGCGACACAGGGGCGACAGTGAGTATCCAGCCACCAGGAATCATGAAGCAGCGTCATCACCAACGAGGATGCTCAGATAAATCAGCTCCAACCATGTTTGTTTGCTGTTCCTAACAGTCATTGAACTCAGGATTCAAAGTCCTGGAAGAGAGACTGATCGATCAGCCTTATTTGCATCATTTTCTCTGTGGCTACCAAAGGAGCTGATGGTCCAACTAAAACCTCTCACAAAGAGAGTAATTCTCCAGAAAATAAAGAAATAAGAAAAGAATAAGAGTCCAGGTAACCAAAAAAAGTACTAGGAGGGGACACTATGAAAGAAAGAATCTATTGCCATAAAAGGCTGTAAGACGAGATAATTCACTTGATGAGGGGAATACAGGTGGCTGGGATATACAGTGAGGTCAGCTCACATCAGCTAGGATCAGAGAAAGAATAGAGGGAGATGTTAGCTGGAAGAAGAGAGCTTGGGTAGGTGAGAAGCTGAAGGCCCTCTGTGAAGCCAGGCTCCAGGATCAGGGTGAAGTGCTTGGAAAGGGTAAGAGATAAGATAAAGAGACCAGGTTCAGACTGCAGAGGTCTCAGGAGGCTGAGTAGTGGAACACCAGCAGCCCTAGAGGGTAGAGATCCAGGAAGAATTTGGTGTATTGCCACCATTAAGCTAACCATATAGGAAATTTTGTGATACATACTACTGATAAAAGATTTGCTACTCATATGTATTTCAAAACTCCTACAAGTTAATGAGAAAGGCAAAGGGAAACAGGCATGTATTATCAACAGGTAATTCACAGAAGAGTGAATTACAGTAGCATCAGAGGTTGGGGAAGCTCCCAAGCCAGATCAAGATAGCATGACCTCAGACATACACTGAGGGCCGAGTATACTGTGCCTGAGGAATTGAGTGCACCTTGCATTGAACTTCTCATCCCTATAATGCACTCATCCACTGGCCCTCTCATTCAGTTGCATGATAGCTCTGATGTCCTGTGGTGCCTGCTGAGCTCTGCTGCAGAGAAATCACACAACTGTTAAAACGGGACTCTGGAAGCCTCTGATATCTAATTTAGGCTGAGGGTTCTCAAGTGGGACAGGCTGGATTTGAACCATAGTTTCAGTGCTTCCAGTTTTGATCTTAATAAGTGAGTTAAGGTCCCTTTTCCTCAGTTTCCTCATCTATGAAACTTCCTCCTTCATGGAATTGTCATGTGATTCAATGAGTTAATATCCCGTAGGTGACTAGGAATGAAATTGACCAAATTATACTGTTAGATTGTGTGCATGTAGGAATATGTAGCAATGAATCCCACTTTTATGTTTATTTCATGCACTAATAAAAAGGAAAAAATAAAAATAAAGTACATTTCAGGGAGCTGAGGTAGGTCAATGGTACAATGATTGTCTGGTATTCACAAGGCCCTGGGTTCAATCCCCAGCACTGAAATCAAATAAATTACACAGATAGATACAGATATATCTTAGAACAGTGCCTGGCATACAGCAAGTGCCCAAAGTTTGCTCATCTTTTTGCTACTCTGCCACACTTGTTCCCATCTCAGTTTCTTCAGCCCTGGTCCCCTCATGTCAATGTGCTTTTTCCTCCCATCCTAAGAGAGGTGTCCTTTCCCACACCTCTTCCATTCACAGCCTGCAGATAAGCCTTTTTTTTTTTTTTGTACTAGGAATTACATGTAGGGACACGTAACAACTGAACTGCATCCTCATCCTTTTTTAAAAATATTTTAAATATTTTTTAGTTGTTGATAGTCCTTTATTGTATCCATTTATATGTGGTGCTGAGAATCAAACCCAGTGCCTCATTCATGCCAGGCAAATGTGCTACCGCTGAGTCACAGCCACAACCCCCTCAGCCCTTTTTTTTATATTTTATGTTGAGACAGAATCTCATTGAGTTGATTAGGGCCTCACTAAGTTGCCAAGGCTGGCTTTGAACTCACAATCCTCCTGCCTCAGCCTCCTGAACCACTGGGATTACAGGTGTGCACCACCATGCCCAGCTTCAAGCACCATCCTCACTCATTCATTTGCTCTTCTTTCTTTCCCCCACCCACTTCTCAGCTCCCCAAGCTCACTACCCAAATTGCTCTCACCAAAGGCACGCTGGCATTTGACACTTCCCTGATCACTCCACCCATGAAACCCTCCCCTCTTGGGTTTCAGGATACCTATTGCTCTTCCCCTAGGTCTGCACCTTAGTCATCATCGCATTATTTTCCTGTACCCACTCCCTAAATGCTAGTGTTCCTCCAACTGTTTCACACTCTCTTCTCCCCCCCTTCCCCTCCTTCCCCCTTTCTCTCCCTGAGCTTCTACCTCCACATTCCTGTAGATGACTCCTCAGTATAGATCCCAATCTGAGTTGCCTCTTAAGCTAAGGCTTTAAAATCCATCTGTCCACAATCTATTTCTCCCAAGCTGTCTGTTAGGTACCCCCTAGACTCACAGCACCTGCTCTGGGAGCAGTCAATTTCTCTTTCTAAGCAGATCTTAAACCACTCAGTGCAGGTCAATGTCAGATTTTCTTCTCAGGCTCTTTCAGGATTCAGGTAACAGATTTCTGCCTTGAGGGTAGGTTCAGGTGCACTTGCATATCATTGCCACAAGATGGAACTATGTATCCTGCCAGATGATTCCTATTAGAGCTTCTAAATGCTTTAATAACCTGTGAGAACACGTAAAATCTACTCTCTTAGCAATTTTCAAGTATAAAATATATTAACTATAGCTACCATACTGTGCAATGAATCTCCAGAATTTATTTATCCCATCTAAATAAAACTTCATACCCTTTGACTAACATCTTCTCAGATTAAAAAACTAATGATAAATGAATGAGATCTGGGAGAGGCCAGGCCAGGCAAATAGATTGCTTGTCTATTATATGGAGGGAAAAGTCAAAATTACTGCACATGCTTTAAGTGCCACCTATTTGGGTTGGTGATGTTGATATATTCTTCCAGAAAATGTACAGTGTTGCTACTGCCAGACAAGGAACTCTATTTGCCCAAAAAAAAAGTCTTTGGAAGTTCTTCTAGTATTTGTTAAATTCCACTACATTAGGAACCGGGTCCTCACCACAGACTCATATTTTGAGGGGAAGACTGCCATTACATCAGGAACCTCTTATAAAGGAAGCTTCTGGGTTCCAGAGGTCCCTTCCACAACCTCCTCCCCCAACCCAGGGCCGGAGGGTACAGGTGTCTGCTGGAGCCTCCTTCTTGATTTCTGTTCTTTAGGGTAGCTAAAGGAATAAAAGAAGATGTTCTGCCCATTTGTACTAGTTTTCTAGGGCTGCCAAAGCAAAGCACTGCCACATTAAACAGACTTGAAAGCTCTAACATCAGAAATTTATTTTCTCACAATTTTGGAGACTCCAAGTCTAAGACGAAGGTATTTACAAGGTTGGTTCCATCAGAGGCCTCTCTCCTTGGTTTGCAGCTGTCCAAATTCTCCCTGTGTCTTCACATGGATTTCCCCTGTATGTATCTACCCTATCCCTCTTCGTATAAGGACACCGGGCATACTGTATCCATTCTCACCCCATTGTCTCCACCCCCCCACCCTGTGACCTCATTTTTGCTCTCCAAGTACAGTCATTTTCCAAGGTGCTAGGGGATTTAGTGTTGTAGGGGACACATGAGGCAAGCCACCAAAGATAGCAGGAAACAGTTTTATTTGGCTGCAGCCAGATTAATAGGGTACAGCTTTTGCTATAATCAATTAATCCCCTGAACCTCGAGTTTAGGTAGTTTCAGGACTTTATACCCAGCATGTAAGGGGAGGGGCTCTGAAGTTCACAGTCTGCAGAAGTTCACATAAAAGCAGTTTTTCTTTCACTGTTCTGGGCAAGTTAACTCTTCAAGGACAGCACCTGAGAAGGAGAGAGCTCCTTCTCCCCTTTCCTCCCCTTTCCACCTGTTACCATGGAGCCCAGTTGGTAACTTCTCCGGTAGTGGCACCTCCCTTTCTCCACACATAAGTCTTAACTGGGCTTCTCCAGAAATCTTCACCATGGCTGATTTTAGGACTGTCGGCAAAAGAGTCTCTACAAAAGAGTTCAATGTAGATAAACTTCCAATTTTCGTGTTGCCCTATCTTACTTGGCCACAGACCAAGAAGAAATCAGCACTCCAGATGCTGGACACCCACTTACTAGTTTTTCACAAACATGTATCCAGTATAGTAGTTTGTAGAAATGTGTAAACAAGACCTCTGACCTTGACTGGGGCTTCACAGAGATGTTTATATTTCTAAGATAAGAGAAGTTACCAATTCTCCTCCAACTGTTTTTGACAGGTCTTTTGGTTGCAGCAGCGAAAACAGCTGACTTAAACATAATGGGAGTGGGCTTCCCAGACTTCTCCTCAAAAATATGGGTCTGTGGTGAGGACCTGGTGAGAGATAGCCTCCCCTGCAGCATCTGGGGGACCCACACCTCCCTGTCTCAGTTGCCCCCAGCATGACAGCATGGTGGGGACCAGGGCCCCTTCCTTTCTACAGGACCCTGCATGGGCAGTCTTGGCCTGGGTCCCACATTGACTGCCCCTAACTGAATCCTCAGGCTCTTGCTCTCTTCTGCACCCAGAAGAGCTGCAAGTCAGCCTCTGGCTCCTACTACACTTACCCTGGCTCCCTTCACAGATATTTCCCCCAATATGTCTCTTGCACTGCTCTCTCCTTCTCATAGGACTCAAAGTAATACAGTGCCCTTATTGGGATGAGGAAAAATGTTAACAGCCAAATCTATATGACAGCAGCACATGGATTAATCCAGAGTTGGCTACAAGACCCAAATACTTTTACAAACTAACCCAGCTTTACAAAGCCCCAACATGTGAGAACATGAGGGATCAACTTCTAAAGTACGCTGGTATAAAATAAACCTTTAAGTCAGCTATTTCCTCAGTCTCAAAAGTCCATTTCTAACTAAGCAAAATTTCCAGCTTGAATTTAGTTTTCTGACTAGAACTCCCAATTTAACAAAGGACCTTCATTTGCTAGGAAACATTCTCTAGGGAATATCTAATAAAACCGGGGACTGGGGTTTTAGCTCAGTGGTAGATCCATTGTCTAACAGACACAAGCCCCTGGATTTAAGCCCCAGAACTGCAAAAGTAATGAAACTGGTGTTCTAGTTTCCAAACAAGGCTCTATGGCTTTGGTTCCTGAAAACCTGTCTGAAGGTTTTGATGTAGTGACTAAAAGCACAAACTAGTCTAGAATTAGTCAACTCCAGAGCTGCACCTGGCTTTTCCTGTCCCTGTGTGAATATAGGCAAGTTATTTATCAAGCTCATGTGCCTCAGTTTCCTCACCTGTAAAACTGGGTAGTCATATTACTATTTACCTTCTAAGGATTTTTTTAATATTTTGTAGTTGTTGATAGACCCTTTTTTAAAATTTATTTGTATGTGGTGCTGAGAATCAAACCCAGTGTGTCATGCATGCTAGGCAAACACACTACCATTGAGCCACAACCCCAGTCCTAAGGATGTTTTATAAGTCAAAAATGATACTGCACATATACTGTCTGGCATCAATAAGTGTGCAGGGTTCCTTGTGATGCTGATTGTCAGTCTGATTAGCCCATGATAAGAACCAAAACAACTAACATGATGTGATCTCAAAGAAATAGAATGCAAATACATGACTTTTTTTATTTTCTAGTAGCCATATTTTAAAGAGAAGAAACAAGTGAAATTAACTTTCATGTTTTATTTAACTTCAAGAGCAATTTGCCTGAGGCCACTCTGGTTCTGCCTGACTTAAGTCAGTAGGATATGCTACATTCCACAGCAAACAACCTGTTATCTGCAGGAATGCAAGCCCCAAAAGACTCTGCCCTACACACTAAAAGAACACGCATTACCCTGAAGAGAGGGAACTTTTGTGACCTTTACACAGACTAGATTCCAGGACTCAAGGAGACAGGATAATCAGAAGCAAAACCCCTCAACTATAAAATCTGTAAGAACAAGTTCCAATTAGAACTGGTCAAATTGGGACAAGCTGACTCAGAGTTGCCTTAGATCTTTAGCATGTCATTACAGAGGCAAAATCTTCCCCCATAGGGAGTTGGAAGTTTGATGCAATCCTGCTAGCAGTCAAAAATCAAGAGGTGGACCTGGGCAGAGCTCTGGAAAATTCACTGGGACTCCCAACAAAACAGGAGGGCATAAGGAATGTGTCATCCCTCTCTTCACTGAGAGGACCCACTTTCTCCCTTGAGAGTGTTCTCTTTTTCCATTTTCCCCTTTCCTATCTCTTCTAATAAACTCATGTCTGCTACTATAATTTGTGACTCAAGGACACCCACAGCTGCTTTGGTCCACAAATGGCCTTGCTCTGCAACCATAATCAATATTTTTAAATTATTAATGATATATTATACTTTTTTAGCACTAAGTCTTCAAAATACAGGGTATGATTTACATTAAGACACATCTCCACTTGAATTGCATACTTCAGGTGCCATCCGCTGGCTAACACCCTGTTGGAAAGAGCAGGATTAAAATTTTAAACTAAAGATGACTTTTAGAGTAAAACCAAATCCTGGACCTTAGAACTATTGCTGCATCTCCATAACTGTACATTGTGAGCGTTACCTAAGTGTTCACCACTGCTTTTCCATAATGAAGGCTGTGTTCACCAAGTCAGGGAGTCATATCTAATCCTTCTTCCCCTAGCAATTATATTCCCTCCTAGAAAGAGCCATTGCCCTGATTATGACATTAACTCTCCACTCCTTACTTTCCCCAGCCTCTGGTAACCACCATTTTACTTTGTCCAGAGAATTTGTCTATTCTAGGTACACATGTAAGTGAAATCATACAAACTCTCTTTTTACAAATGGCTTGTTTCAGTCAGCATAATATCCTCCAAGTTCATCCATGTTGCAGCTCTGGGCAGGTGACCTTCCTTTTAAGGCTAAATATATAGACCACATTTTGTTCATCCATTCTCAGTTGGTGAACACTTGGTTTGCTTCCATCTTTGACTATTGTGAAGAGTGCTGCTAATAAATAAGGGTATATAAATATCTGTTCAAGTCCTCATTTTCAATTCTTTGATGCCCGGAAGTGGAACTGGAGAATCACGAGGTAACTCTATTTTCAACTTTTTTTTTTTTTGAAGCACCATACTGATTTACACAGGGGTTTCATAGCAATATACAAGGGTTCCGAATAGTCCATATCCTCACCAACACCTGTCATTTTTGTTGCTTCGTTTGCTTTGTTATACTAACCACCCTACAGGACCTGTGTTCATGGTCTCTGAATTCTTTCACAATCCATTTTGTCAGCTTTGAACATTTTGAAAACATTAGCTTAGATTTTATTAGTGTTCATTTCTGATGACAGACAGCCAGGGCAATGGAAAGGTACAGGCCATGGTGGCACAAGTCCTAGTTTCTGGCCCAGCTGTGTCACTGAGAGACCCTGGGCAAGGGAGAAATTGCTCCAAGCCTGTTTCCTTTTCTTCTGCCAGGAGCAGCATGATAATCACACGTGCTCCAACCAGTTAGCTGAAACTTAGACCTAGATACATTTTAAGTGGCGTTCTTTATACACACGTGAGCTGTTTAATTCCATTTTCTTTTGATCCATTTTTCTGCTCCTGGGGTGGGACACACACACCTGGCGAGTTGGAGTCCTTGAACCTAGGGAACCATCGAGATGCAGAACCTCCGAGGTCCTAGAAGAGACGCCTCAGCTGCGGCCACCGACCCTACTTCCGGTCTTTGTTTATCAGCGGCTACGGCGGCCTGAGGGGGTCAGACAGGTTCTCGGTCCCGCTGTGCACTTCTCCCTGTGGGGCCCGGGCGCCGTATTTCCTTCAGCCCCACATTTCTGGCCTCGCCCTTCCTTTTCCCAGCCTGCGGGGAAGATTAAAGGCATGGAGGGTCAACTGTTCAACGCCTCCTTTCCAACGTCCTTGGAGCCAGCGTGGCTGCGGAATTCAGGCCATCCCCGCTGCTGTCCATGGAAGCTCGGTTTGAAAACGACCTTGCAAAACGTCTGGGTTGTGGAAGTGGAAACCGCACCCTGGATCCTCGGCTTTGTGTGCTTTTCATTCTTCAGTGTGCACCTTATAACCCCAGCGTCGAGCTAGGCAGAGAGGAAATGAAGTGTCAGGGTTCCTCCCTTTCCCAGGAGACACTCCAGTGAAAGTTCTGAGGCGTGTTCTTAATACGCTCGGAGATAGATTTCAAGGAGCGGCAAGAGTGGATCTGCAGAAATGCTCTGCCGTCCAAGAACACTAAAGATTAAAGCATGTGTGACCGCAAATCCCTGCTCTAGAGACTGTTAAATCCCTTCTGCAAAAAATAACCAAGCCGCTAAATAAAAATATTTCTGGGTTTTCTAGAGATAGAAATCAAGCAGAATGAGAACTAAGTGCCATTTGTTGGCCGATTTATTTAACTTTCTGGCCCTCAAATTCCTTGTTTCTAAAGCGAAAAGGATAATAGTTCCTTTAATAGGAATGAATGAAGTTAATACTTGAAAGCAGCCGCCACAGTGCATGACAAGTACTACTAGTGATAACTATCATGGCTTTGACTATTAATAACATGGAGGCAGACTCCCCTCTTACCATAAAGCCTCTTTTTTGTGTCCAATGGGCAATGTGGGAAGAGGAAGAGAAGAATTCTAGGTTATAGGAAAGATGTGTATGGAAACATTAACCCATTCAGTCTACCCAAAATTTGAATGGGATATCTATGTACCTTCTCTTACTATATTTGTAGCATGTAGCATTTTTAGTGGGGTGCAATCAAGCATGATAATTATGTACTTGTTAAAGAAAAATATGCTTTTGTAATCCTCTATGCAAAGTCACTGTTGGTGACATATTTTTCTGTGATTTTGGAATTTATGCCCACCCACAGACCCAAGACTCATATTATGAGCTCAAGGCCTAAAGAAAATGTTCTGAGAATCACTGAGACAACCAAAATCATCTCCATTTATAGAACCTCTGCCATGTGTTCCCCTTCTTGAAAATCGAAAGAAATTATTTTCTCTTTCTTCCTTTCTTTTATGTCATTGGATTCTTCTGGAGGAAGAGATGCAAGAGAGGATCCCATAGGTCTTTTCTTTTCTTTTTTTTTTTTTTCTTCCCCCTTATAAACAAGTATTTAACTCATCTTCCCTGGGTAGTGCTTTTCTCTGCCCCAGCACTCAAAATAATACTAAGACTGATAGGATTGGCACCAACTATTCAAAATTTTTGTAACCAGAACTTCAAGAAAAACAACAATAATTATGATTAAAATGTTAGCAGTTACAAAGACACTGAATTCCTATTAAATAAAGGAATACTCAATATAATGAAATCTACCATAAAGAGAAAAACAGGAGGAAGGAGCTTGGTGGTAGGACTGTGTGGAAAGGTTGCATCTACTCAGGAGACATGAGCAAATACACAAAATTGTTTATTGCAATTTTGGGTAGTTATGCAATAAACCTTTCCAAGGTAAAGCACATGGCCATCTGAATTAACATGAGGAAAGGTGAAACTGTACAGTGCTGAATTGCCCCAAAGCTTGCTGGATTCTTCTTCGCCCATGGCCTTTGTTTTCAAGGTGCTGTTAGTGGCACAAAACATGAACATGTTGAGAAAACCTCTCCATGAAACAACAGGACTTTACCTGTTGACCAGGTGTATACAAGCTCATTCACACTCCACAAACAGATATTCTGGCTAAATAAATCATATCTAGGATTGTTTTCTTTGGGTCCTTTTATCACCCCTCAAGCTACCTTTTGTTTTCTTAATTTCTCAAGAGAGGATATGTGCATTAAAAATCTTGTTCCTGTAGCAGAAATGCAGTTATCAAAAACTGAAGGGAACTGGGTAGCGTGGTGCACACCTGTGACTCAAGGGGCTAAGGCAAGAGGATCACAAGTTTGAATTCAGCATTGGTAACCTAGTGACACTCTATGTCAAAATAAAATAGTAAAAGGCTGGGGATGTAGCCCAATGGTAGAACACTTGCCTGGCATGTGCAAGGCCTGGGTTTGATCCTTGGTACAAAAAAAAGAAAAGAAAAGAAAAGGCCCAGGGGATGGGGATGGGATAGTGTGGGTGAGATTTAATTATATGCACTGCAGTGGTCCTCAAGTTACTGGTACCAATTTACAAACATTCTGTAAGTGTAATGGCCAGCTGCTCCCTGCCACCTTCTCTCTCCATTTTCCCTGACCATCTCACAATTTACCACTCCTGAAGGTTCTGACTGGCAACCAGAAGTTGAGACCTGTAGGAATGCCTGGCCTGGCATCTCTTCATTACCATTTTTTTCCTACATCCATCAAAGAAATCGTGTACTTGTTTCCCATACTGCTCACTATTCTGTTAATCCATCCCAGGTTCCCTTCCACACAGGTATGTATAAGCACCCGCTTTATGTCCCTGCCACAAGTCTCTTTCATCACTTGTCTTTGGTATCTGACTCTCCCTTTCCCTCTCATCCCCCACATTTATGAATTTAAAAATGGCAATAATCTGGAAATCAGTAGGAAGTATCCTCAAAAGACTAGAAATGGAATCATCATGTGACCCAGCTATACCATTCCTCAGTATTTTTCAAAAAGAACTAAAGCCAGCATACAATAGTGATGCATGCATACCCCTACTATTTATTGCATCACAATTCACAATAGACAAGTTATAGAACCAGCCTAGGTGTCCATCAACTGATCAATGGATAAAGAAATTGTGATATGTATATGTGTGTGTGTATCACAAGTGAATATATATCACAAAATGAATAAACAAATGGAGAATATATTATATATATTTTTTATATTATATATATATATATATAAAATCACAAAATGATGGAGAACATCATTTTGAGCATAATAAACCAGATTCAGAAAGTCAAGTGTGATTCATACACACTTGTTTTCCAGTGTTCTCTTTCATATGTGAGAGCTAGGGAGGAAAAGTTTAAGAAAAAAAAAATGGATCTCCTGAAAGAGAGGGAAAACCAGTATAGTTGAGGGAGGTAATCAGAGAGAGGGAGGATTGGAGGGCAAGGGGAGGCACTGGGAAATGGAATTGATTAAATTATGTCATGTGCATGTATGAATCTGTCACAATGAACCCAACTATTATGTATGATTATGATGCACCCATAAAAATAAATAAGTAAGTAAATAAAAAGGAGGAGGAAAATCATGTGGTAGATTGGAACAACAATAATCCAGGAATATAAATGCATCAAGAAAACAGAAAGGGGCTGGGGATGTGGCTCAAGTGGTAGCGCACTCGCCTAGCATGCGTGAGGCACTGGGTTCGATTCTTAGCACCACATAAAAATAAAATAAAGATATTGTGTCCACCTAAAACGAAAAAATAAATATTTAAAAAAAATAATAAAAGGGGCTGGGGAGGTGGCTCAAGCAGTAACGAGCTCGCCTGGCATGCACGGGTGCTGGGTTCAATCCTCAGCACCACATAAAAATAAAATAAAGATGTTGTGCCCACCAAAAACTAAAAAATAAATATTTTTAAGAAAAGAAAAGAGGAAATCACATGGGTGCAACCAACATCTTGATCACTTGAAACAATGCCTCACATGGAATCCCCACTGCACAGTCTCCTCAGTGATCTTCTGCTCTTCAAATCCTAGATTCAAAATAAAAAAAAAAGTGTTTCCAGACTTTGGTTTTACTCTTTTCTTCTGTGCTTAATACTATTGTAAATCAGAGATAACCATACATGTTTGCATTTTAGTCTCCTTGTGTTCTATGTTTGTAAAACAATTTTTCTTCCACCCTGTATTTATTGGCCCTTGCTAATGTTTTGAAACATAATGCTTTTCTCCATTTTGCATAGAAATTTTTCTAAAATGTATGCCATCTTCCTGCAAGTGTATGGTTAACTCCTTTTTACTGACCCCATCAACAATACAGGCATCCTACATACAATGTGCCCCCGCAACATCATAACACAAATGTTCTCACCATACATTTCTTTTTTTGTTTAATATATTTTTTAGTTGTAGATGGACGCAATACCTTTATTTTATTTATTTTTTTATGGGGTGCTGAGGATCGAACCCAGTGCAAGCACTCTACCACTGAGCCACAATCCCAGCCCTGTACATTACTTTCTAAAGAAAAAGTAAACAGAATCCTCATATACTCAGATAATTTGCCCAAATAAAAGTGAATCCTGGGGTTGGGGATGTGGCTCAAGCGGTAACACGCTCGCCTGGCATGGGGTTCGATCCTCAACACCACATAAAATAAAAATAAAGATGTTGTGTCCACTGAAAAATAAATATTAAAAAATTCTCTCTCTCTCTCTCTCTCTCTCTCAAAATAAAAAAAAAAAAAGTGAATCCTGGGGCTAGGGATGTAGCTTAGTGATAGAGTGAGTGTTGAGCATGCACAAGGCCCTGGGTTCCTTCCCTAGTGCCACAGGGAAAAAAAATCCTTCTTTCATGTCACTCATTGTAATAACCTGTGAATTTTAAAATTTATAGTAATTTCCAACTCAAGAAGTCTGAACTTGATAAAATG